TGAAAGGCTGGCCTCCAAAGCTGCAATGCAATCTTGCATGTCTGGCGCCTCTCTGTGCAACTCGGACTCCGGAATGTCTGATGCCGCTGAACGGAAAACACAATGCTCCGAAGCTTCGGCTGATAGGGACGGGGCGAAAGCACATGCTGGGGTCTCAGGGTCTCCACCGGCTATGCAAAAGTTGACTTCGGCTCGCCCGTCCTCGTCTCCGAAGGTAACGCACTCGACGAGGTCAGGATCTAACAACCCTAGCCAAACCTTGACTGTCTGTGTGGGGTGCGGACTTCTACGAGCACTGTCTGCTGCCAAAACCTCTGCAAGCGTGAATCGCGAAACGGCAAGTACCTCCTGGCAGTGATCCTATGCCAAGCCCCCCCCGGAACCGCAACCAAGATTACATGATCAACCTGATCAATGCCGATGATCTGACACGAAATCGGAGGTCCTTCCTCCTGATCTACAGTAAGGACTCCAATGGTGAAATTGGCTCGTGTCTCTGAAAGCAGACAATCAACGAGAGGTCTGCCTTCGTTGAAGCGGGGCATAGCCACCCGCAGTCTTGCACCTTTTTCCGGAGTCGATACCATCACGAGGCCAGCTCCAGCCAATGCAACTCGTGCTTCGGCTTGACTCGGGAGTCCAACAAAGACTGATGCGCCTTTGTCCTTTCCTTGGAAGCAAATGCGGGTGACCTCAGAAATCATTGCAAGATGATGTAATACTTCGAAGACAACCTCAAGCGATCTCTACCGAAACTCTGGCGATAATCCCCTTGCAAAGCCCTGGTCAAAACACGCCCCACGTTCTGGGCAACAGAAGTTCGGAAATCCGAGTTCGGACCGTCGGGGTTTTCAACAGAACTACCGTCAGGGAAGCTCCTACCGTCAGGCCGGGTTCGGCCCGGAAGAACAGCTGCCGGACGTTCCGGCGTGTGAAAAGCGGGCTGCAGCAGGGGACACAGCAGCTGAGCTACGGCTACTCAGATTCAACAGCTGCCAGTCGAAATTCCAAGCTAGCCACAGCCACCGAAGAACTTCAACCTCGGATACCAAACTGGTCGTAGGAAGAGTCTGCTGGCTCATTCAAGCAGCCTGTGCAGCTCATTTTTAAGCACGACCCTCGGCCGTCGCCGAATGCTCCGAGTAAGGAGCAGTCTCAGCACAAAAGCTAAATCGAGCAAAGGTCCAATGAGCAAGTCCAGAATGAGGCCCAGCCAAGCGCGAAGCCCAAATCTATTCTGCCCGACGGGAGGCAAATGCGAAAAGGTTCAGGGGGCGCAATCGGCACCTCGAATCCCTCTCGAAGGACCTGAAACAGAAAGCCAGCCAGCCCTCCAGAGAACCCGCCTACCGCTACGGGCAGGGGTCCTTGAACCATCAGAGCTGCGCCACCGCATAAAACATGTCTGTGCATATGAATGTAATCGACAGGCTGGCAAGGCCGGCAAGCAGCTACAGCAGCCAAAAAACGGACAAACATTCAGATGCAGCACACGGCACGGGCACAGAACAGCTACAATTTTATCAGCCATCCCGAGCCATGCTAGAGAAACCTATTCAGCACAAATGCAAAAAAACATGCGACTGAAAATCTAAGAAACAAAGCACTAGAAAATTCAGCCGACAGAAACCAAAAAAGACTGCAGATGTACAGCTGTACTCTCCACCCTGTGCACTAATAGGCGTCCGAGCCACCCTGGTCGCAGTAATTGCCTCGGCAGAGCAGGCACGTGCAAGTTCGACGTTCGTAACTCTTTCGCGGCAAGCACAGCCCTCAAGAAGGGCAATCGCTTCCAAGATGCAGCAGTGGTTGAGGGGCGATGGCCCGCTCACCGCGGAGCGCCTCCTTGGCTTCCCAGGATTTGCGCGATACGTGTCCACTTCACGCATGCAAAATGCATGGCTGGATCTCAAATGTGTATGCCCCGCTTTTTGGAAAGGCTTCCAATGACAACTGTTGCATTTAAGGAGCCTTCACCGCTGTCAAGCCGTGTCCTGCTGCATGCAACAAGAGATCACTGAAGCCAGGAGCCTGTCAAAGCTGCACTTCTTCTCTGCCTTCTTCTGGCGACCCTTCCTCTGGCAAAATGTGTCTTCATCAGTCTCGTCAAAAATCGTCAACATTTCACTCGGCTGTTCTCTGGATCATGTCACTCCCTCCATCCTTCTCCCAGTAGCTCGTCCCGTCCCAGATCGAGCCAAATCGCCTGAGGATACGTCGCAGAGAGAGAGGGAGAGGGAGAGGGAGAGAGAGGGAGAGAGAGATAGAGAGAGAAAGAACTTCCTGGCCGCTCTCCGTTTCTCCGTCTCCGGACCAGCTCTGGGCGGCGCGCCGAGCTCGCGAAGGCTCCGCTTCCGGCCGCTTTTTGCCAGTGGCCCAGCTCCAGGCCGATCGCCACGAAGGACGGCTGCGGCTCGCTCACGCCAGACACCATGGCCTCGGCAGCCTCGGAGCTCTTCCAGTTTTAAAACCGGCATGCGAAATTGTTGGTACTAGTCGTGTACCTTACAATGCCATATATGCCATATATTAGCATGATTAGCACATCTATCCACTTGCTTTTTTGGCATGGGACTCATGCACATCCCCTGTTCTGCACGTCTTCATTGCAGATGTTTGAACTTTTGGTTCTGAACGAAGCATATGGCTGAAGTATGCCTACAAGCTCCAATGATTCTGAACTGGTCATTGAACCGGACGCCGGGCCTTCACGAGCTCGTCAAGGTCCATGGAATCTGAGCCGCCTTCGTGATTGCATCAACTTGTGGCTCCGAGTTGAATTTCCCATTAACTCATTCGGCGATGCTTTCAGAAGCTTCCGAAACTTTTGCACGGCGCGGAGCCCATGTCAATCCTGCACGACTCTGCTTCCTGCTTTTGTAGCATGTGAAGTCAGACGGAACGCGAAGCGCAGAGCAACCAAATGTCAAAACGCCTATCTGAGGGGGACAAGGGGGTCTGGCACAACAGTTTTATATGTTTTATGGTCTTGGCGAGATGGATTTGCACTGCGATGATTGCACCCTGCTCCATCGGCTGACCGTGGCTGACCCCTGAATCAACCAGGGCGACCTGCGGTGCGAGACGAAGCGAACACAAAACCTGTCGCCGGGTCCTTGAAGCTTGTCAAGCCTCTTCCGGCGTGCGAAGTTGAAGGGCAGACATCCCCACCAAACCCATCTTCTGGCACAAGAACTACGTCACTTCAGGACGAATCCGAAGGTCGGGGAAGCGGGCGCAGCACATGAGGACAGAACGAGATGCTACCTTGAGTTTAACCTTGATTGCGTTGACGTCTTGCATTACCCTGTTGGGTGAGTATCGCTCCGTTCATATCAATGAATCAATGAGATTGGTTCGGAATTGCATGGGCGTATTTGTTGCACCTCTGTCGGGCGCTGGCAGCTGGCGAAGGGCACCATTGACGTCTGCAGTGGCACCCCAGAGAGCCCGGATGGAAACTGTCCTGGAGAGCAACAGTGCAAAAAAAGCAAAGGTATCCCATGACAATGCAACGAGAAAACACTGTCTTGCCGTGACTTGCATCGACTGGCAGACGAGTGGCCCATCTTCTGTCAATACCCTCAGCCACTCCGCGAAAACACTGCGTAGTCCCGAAGAATGACGTGGATTCATCAGCAGACCTGCAGGATCATGCAGCCAGCATTTTCTCAGAAAAAGAGACGAACTTGAGTACTGCCACCGTGCCACTGTGCCAGAGCGCATACTTACCCCTGCGATTCCCAGCTGGTCAGCATTTTCCACGCATACCGTGAGCCCTAGAATAAGTCCCACATATCCCGTTGTTAATTTAGCCAGAATGCAGCGTTGGTCCAACTGAGTTCTGCCGGCGCTCAGCACCTTGCCGCAACCAAGGGCTGGATGGTAAAAGTGAAGGGTATTTTTCGGCTGTCAAGTTGCAAAGCTCACACGCACCGCAGGCAGATGTGCAGCAGTCCTTCCCTGCTATTTGGCCCTGCAATGTCCAACTGCACATACTGCACGACATGGTAGACTAGTGACTAGCACCGTTTTGTTGATCCTGCTCTGGTGGGAGATTCCCTGTGTCCGGCGCCATCAGTGGCAGTGCTGCCCTGGCAGGTCTGGCCAGCTCGCTCGCGCGGCGCTGCAGCTCCTGTGACGCTCATTTCGGTGGCCCATGCCCCCTCCTTTACGGCTTGCGCATGCTTGCGCCATTTGCGGCTAGAGCGACAAGCTTCTGCTCGGGGAAGAGTGCCAAAGTCACGGCTCGAATTCGCACAGCTCCTGGAGGTCTGCGGCCTCAGCGGCTGGGCTGGTCTATCCTAGGTTGGGTTCCAAGGTCCACTGACTGCTTCGTTTCAGATCTGCGCGAAACCACAAGACCTGCATACTGAGCACTGGCCCTCTGATGACAACGCCCTAGGTTCCAACATCTGGATAAGCATGAACATCATGTGCATGTGGTGGTCAAGCTCTACAGTTCCATGCCTACCGCTCCGGAAGACTTGCATCACAACCATTCCAGGCCTGGTAGACAGTGACCGGAATCCTGAGTGCAGAGACACAGGCAATCATAGAACTTTATTTGTGGTTTGGGGATTGAAAGGCGTGAGAAGCCAATAGCAGCACAGCCAGCCATGACGTAAGTGGGACGGGCGGCGGGGAAGCATCGTGGCGTGCCGATGCCGGCGGTGGCGGTGCCAGGGGAGTGGTGAGCGCAGCCATGCGAAGCTCTTCACGGCTCTTCACGATTTGGGGCTTGTTATATACTATGACGAAGCTTAAGCCTCCTTGGGTTCTGAAATGTTCTGAACTAAGTACTGTGTGACAGGACTGGCACTAACCTTGCGAACAGAAACAAATCCAAAAGACCAGCATTCCCATGAATTTCTCTTCCCCCCTCCTTGGCAGCAGTGTGTGACTTTGTCACCGTTCCAAGGACATCTGCAGCTTAGACAGAAGAACATCCTCTAAACAGCACGGGCACGTGCGCAGTTGGTACCACGAAGCTCCAGCTCCTCCAGTTCCTTCTCTATCTGATCGATCAGCTTCTGGTGCCTCAGCAGTCTATGTAGATCGGGGACCAGCAAGCTACAGTGTTGGTCTGATCTTATCTCAGCAATGACAGAACCTGGCCAGAGCGACAATTACCGTGCTTTGACAGGGCATTTTGCTTGAAGCAATGGACTCGGGTACAGGGCATGGTTCCCCGAATGGCCCAATGGATTCCAGCGTGGTTTCGAGTTTCGACTGACTGACGGCCACGGTCCTGAACAAACAACAAGGAACAACCAGCAGGCAAGGAATCCGCTCCAATTTTCCTTGAGGTGCAGTGCTCAATGCTTCCGCTGCGTTATGCCACACGCATTTCTCCGGAAAGCCTCGAAATGCCTAGCCTTATAACTTATAACCCTGGACACAGACACTAACTCCAACAACCTTGACAGCGGAAGACATCGTCTTTGGCGAAGAAGATCGAGTAACAGAAACCAAAGCGTGGCTTTAACTGCAAAGGGCCGAGATGTCACTGCATGGAAAAAAAACAATTGGCAGGGGAGACCCAGGTGGTGCCAGGATCGGTGATTTTCAGAGTCCTGGCATCCTGGGAGAATTTTCCCTGAAAGCTGAATGGCTGAGGACTTCACCACAATGAGTAATTAACTCGGGATCTGGTGAAATCGCCATGCCACTCATGCGGAAGGGGTCATTCAAGACCGCTCAAGGCATCCAAGATCAAAACAGGGGAGTAGTGATCCCCAATAATTAGGGTTGCTAACTGCCGTGGCAACTATGCCAGCAACCAGCTATAGCAGCAAACGGGTCCGCTGGATGCGCAAGGCCGCATCTTTGCGCTCGGTATGCTGGAGATCCCACGAAGGCCGCAAAACATTCCCTTAATAACAATTGGAGAACACCTGCCATGACACCAATCTGCATCAGCCGGGTCCTTATCAAGCGCGGCATGGCTTTGCAGCATCATCTTGGCTAAATCCTTCGTCCCCAATCTGGAGGAGCCAGGAACAGGCCAAGAGAGGTGATTGCATCTTGCCGACCCAAGTTACAAATTCTTATTTCCATAAGAATCACAGCGAGGCCACATCTGAGCGCACGCAGATGAACGCCCAACTCGCTTCCATGGCAGACGACTGACGCCTGCCCTCGGACAAGGGGGAGCTAGCCATGTTTCTGCGAGCTTGGCCGGAAGTAGTCATGCCTCCCAAAACTCAACAAAGCATCGAATTGGAATTGAGAGGGCCCGAAAAGGGTCGGCCCTCATCCAGCACAAAGTGCTGAGTGGGTATTGCTTGAAGTGATCAAGCCTCTTCGCCCATGTATGGCACAAAATTGGAGAGCACGACATAGCCATGCCATGCCCAGTGCATATGAACACTTTGGGAGAGTGCCGGAAGGAGGACAACTCGGTGAAGTGTTCTGGCTCCCCGATGTTTCAAACCTCAGCTACACCTGGAGTGAACCGACGGTTCAGTTCAAGTCAGAGCCGGGTCGTCGACTGCACTGGCCAGAATGCTGGAAAATTGGCACGAGGCATCTGCATGACCATTCACGGCCGCTCGCTACACGGATTGGTTCGGGCACAGGCTGTGAAGATCAGGCAGTTTAATGGCAAGTCTGGAAACAGGCACTGGCATCTACAGCAGGCTGAAAACTAGACATATGCGGGCACTGCTTAATGCGCCACGGTGCTGTTGTCTCAGTGGCATTTCGTGACTTCGTGTCGCGAGGGTGCACAAATGGTTTTAGATCGCAGAGTGCCAGATGAATTGCACGCTACGATTCAATCCTTTTTCAGGATAGCATCCAGATGCGCCTGACAGGCTCACGTTCAGGCGGCGAAGACGGACTAGTGCTGTGAAAGCTGGAATTCGGACAACCCTTCCCAGTTGCACTGAAGATCACCGGCGTGCGCATGTGAAGGCAAGACGATCTCTAGAATAGTCTGGGGTCTCAGGATCAGGTGTCCATGTCCGCTTCGTACCGCATGTGTCAGGGCGGTGTTGGTACATGTGTTTTCGACCTTTTTCGACAACACTGAGCCTGCGGCGCCGAGTCAAATCAAACATAATCGGATAAAGTGAGTCGGCGCCAGTAGCCTGGACTGCAATTTGCAGCAATGCAGATTACAAAGCTTGTTTAGCCTCAAGAGGCAAAGCTTGCTCTTCGCTCGCAGCAGAAGCTAGGCACACCCAACTGGTTGCCAACACACTGCAGACAATCAGAGGCGAGACACTCCATGCTTGCTGGTGCCTGAAACCTTTAGCTGGCAAAGCCAAATGGCATGTTCCATCTGGCACAGTCACGTCGCCCGACTGCACGTCAGAGACATATCCTTGCAAGGAGCGGCCATTCCTGCCCCCTACTTGACAAAGACACAGGAAGGACACATTGGAACTCCCTTTCTCTCTGCTTCCAACAACTTGCCTCCCTTGCAAAATGGCATGTCTCTACCACATGATGTGGTCTTCCACGACTGACTCTTGCTGCAAAGGATTGTATCGGCAAAGGCGAGAAGTTCGGCAGAAGCGATGGCCGTCCTCCATCATCGGTTAAGCTCACCGCTGCGAAGCCTAGAAGCTCTCAACATGAGGACAGCTCAAGTTTTTTCAAGCCACATCTATCAAACGAATGTCTTCGTGACACACGTGGTGATGAGTACCGGACCCAAGCGCGGTACTCTGCTACATGCTACTCCACTTCAAGACTTCAAGAGTCACAGCAAAAGCTCCAGGCCAAGAAGCCAGCACGGCTGATGACCCCGGGGCAGCAGCCACCTCCTCCGCCGGTCAGGATCATGTTGCACTGGCCGTTGTTGTCCTCGGCCAGAGCGCTCTTCATTTCAGCAATCTCAAGTTGTCACAAGGAGCTTTCAACGCGAGGGTACCACGAAATGTTGAAGCAAAGCCACGACATCCTGCAGCGAAGCACGCTTGCAAATAAACATCTGCCCATGTGCTCTATGTGCGATTGATTCATAGCTAGACAAACTTAGACGGCCACACGTACACAAATGTGCTCTTTTTCATTCTTGTGTACTGTTTGCCCAGACCCTTAGCCAGATATTGCTTCTATTGGGTGGACTGCGAAGTTACATGAGGGCCCACGTGCCACGTGAGAACGCGAACGAGTCACCTCGTGCGTCGTGCCTGCCCAAAGCTGAACTCATCATGTCGATTCTTCTAAGCGGAGAACCGGCATCGCGGACGGATGAGGAAGCAACGAGAGGACTGTCACAGGACCACAGGATGGAGTCGAGGCACGGTCCCATCACAGCGTTGCGAATGGTCGTGCCCGTATGCGCAGATGACGTTCACCTCGCCCAACTGCAAGGTGCCAACAACCATGCCAGAACCCTGCCCAATCCCTTCTAAAAGCCAGTCCCTCTTCGGCCCCTGACATCGACAAGCTTTTGTAGCAGCAGGGCGATTGCATGACTTGCCTGACGACCCGGCCGCAAAGCTGACAGAAAGATGTCCTGACAAATCGCTGAGATTTTGCGTGTCGCGACTCGTGAGAGACAGGCGAGCAGACACACAGGCAGACGCACGCGCACACAGGCATTCAGGCAGGCAGACAGACAAACACGCACACACAAACGCTCGTGCCTGCATGCACAGGCAGGGCAGGCAAGCTGTCGCTGTCACTGCAGTTTCATGCTCAATCCTGTCCTTTTGGCACTGCCCCGGATAGTGCTGCATGATCCTAACAAAACCAACGCATTCATTCATGATGCCGGCTTGACATGGAGCCAGTGAATAAACTTTCAGCGCTGCCGGTCTCTTCAACCTGAGGAAGACCTTGAAACCCCACAACACTTATCAGTCACAGGGTCAAGACTGTCTTGGCTGTGCCCTGCGCCGCACGCCGTCGGAGAAGTTCCTGAGATTCCATTCCGGGCTTGCAGAAGTTCCATGTGACAGCTCCGGCATCTTCCGGGATGCCTCGTTGCCACCTGGATCTACAATAGGTCAAGGGCGGCCGGTGCCGAGCAATTGTCAAGAGGTTCCCGCAGCCCTCCTCTCCCTCAGTAAACGCTACCACTTGGAGTCTGCCCATGAACTATCATGAACTCGTTGACCGGCCTCAAGGCACCATGGCGCCCTTTCGCATGCCCGTAGTCCACAGGCGGTCCGACACAACCCCTTCCTTCCTTGTTCTGCCTCTGCGACCGGGCCGATGCGGACGACGCGAAGCGTTTTGGAATTATGGTTCAAGTCTTATGCAGAGACGAGAAAAGGCAGAAGGGCTGCATAAAACAACACTGGCATGCTCAGAACGGTGGACTCAGTGTCGCAGCATCGCATTGTATGTCAAAGTACCAAGGCAGTCGAGGCACTTGGCCAGCCTGGTTGACCCTCTGCAGGAAGTTCCTATGGAAAGCCACAACTGAGCCCAAGAAGATCCTGTAACTGTTTCCATTCCGGCCGAAGCACTCCATGTTTCCTTGACCGCCACAAACATTTCCCATCTTCCAGGCTCCTGCCACAGGCATCGTTTTCTGTGAACACGATGCGTGCTTACGAGCACAATCACTCTGAGCTCCGAGCCCGTGCACTTCCATGTCTTTGTTGAGCGGACGTACAAGTAACGCTCTAAGTGTCTCTAAGCTATTGGGGAACCTTCTGTCAGAGTGATCGGCTGCACTGATACCCTTGAAACAATCCCATTCAGAAGCGACGACAGCAGAGTCCTCCTGAGTCACCTCCAAGGCCCTCGATGTCCTGCTGACGCTGTTGGAAGGACAAACAGGCAAGTGGGCGTATGTAGGATGCACTGATGCACACGAAAAGGCCAGAAAATCTCTCATGCTGCCCAGTCTCAACTTGGTTCGTGTCAATGGCCTCACCGACTGAAGAGCTTCGACGATTGTTTTTTGCAATCCACTTGTAAGTCACTTATATATACTGAAAGAACAGCCTCAGCCGCCTTATGCAGCAGCATGACGAGCGCGGCAAAAAAAGCATCACCTGTATGCTTCATTTCCAGAAACTAAGAAAGGGGCGATCACTTCCAGGTCTGCTTCTGGAATCTCGTAGTGGTAGTTGTAGTCAGGCAGCCTCTGCATTGTCGAGACGCGGGAATTTGATACTTACAGCCAAGTCAAACTGCCGAGCTGCCAGTACAGTCTTGTGTTGCCGGGCCGGTTGGGGTTCCTGATCTATCCAGCCGTATAAACTTGAAACAGGGGCAACAAGGCGCGACGTCCGCATTTACATCCAAGTGTCTTGTCGACGTTGAACTGTTCGCAGCCATATCGCTGGCCGTTGACGGTCGCAAGGGGAGCCTGTGCGCTTGGCAGCACAGCTTGCAACATCTTCTGTAAACTCACAACGTCGACACTCAGAATTCGATCGGAAAGGACAGCTTCTCCACTTGGCTGGGCCTGCATTTGATCAGCACAGGCTGCATATGGATCGTCGTTTCCCAGGTCGTGATTCCCGAGGACAGAAAGCCACGGCACCTGTCCGCGCAGGAAAACTGTCCCACAAACTCATTCACAAGTCAACCTTTCTGGGACACCTGGTACAAGGGGCTGCCCGGGTCGTTGGGACCATACAGGGATGCCCAGGACGCATCCCAAGCGCCTGGAAAGAACATGCGAGCTTCCAACCACAGCTGCTTTCAAGTGCACCGCTGGCCACAAGTGTCGGCAACCCTGTCCTGGCGTTACTCCACTCCAGTAAAAGTTGTCTCCGACGGATGCGATGAAGAGCCTTGGCTGACAAGTCTCTTCGTTTCTGATCGCTTGTGCTTGCCTTCTTGCAGAAGCGTGACAGCAAAGCAGGTCCAGGCGAAACCATGCCAAGCCGCAACTTCTTCCCCTGCTGCTGCTGGCGAGAAACGTACGCCTTCCTCACTGCACCCGACAAGGACTCACTAATCATCCCACAACTGCTCCATAGTTTCTTGCCTAGCCTGCGGTGTTACAATTTCAGCACGGAAGTGTAAGCTGCAGCTTACCAAACTGCGAGCGGCCTGAATCTGCCCTTGATTCTTGGCAAGCTGCAAGTGGTCAGCCACTGCTCGCTGACATGGGCCAGGAGAGTCAGCACGTCCCCAGTCACCGATCATCAGAAAATAATTCTGACTTCCTGAGCTTCTTGCTCAGCGTTATTAAGCAAAGTCCTGGGTTCGCCTAGCTACAAAAGCTGGCCTTGCTCAGTGTGGAGGAAGCTGCAATCTTCAACATCATGAGCTATTGAGAAAAGGCTCTCTGGCCATGGGGCTGAATGCCCAGTGGGTTTTGGCCATCGTAGTTGTTGATGTATTGGCCTGGCCAAGCAATTCCGCCCCCAGCGAAGGCAGCATCCGGAAAACCCGTCTGTTTGAGGGCTCGACCCTAACCCTGTTTGAAAGCTTTTGCACCAAACTGTAGACATCTACAGCAGCAGACCACCACCACCACCACCGCTTCTGCTTGGTAACGCCAAGGCCGCCGCTGCTGCTGTGAAAAATATCGTGAAAACGATGACGACGACGAACAGCTTGCGAAAGCCGTGACCCTTTGTTTAACGCACTGAAGCTAAATACACTCTAACGACTGTCCTTGTATGAACCAGTATCACCGGACAAGCCTGACCCTACCGCATGATCCACAATCTCAACCAATAGTGAACGCTCGTCGCGCTTCACTACGCGTTCGAGTTTCATACTGTAATGACTGCTGTTCTCGTATCCACATTCAACACGCACCCTCCCAGCAGGGGATGAAATGGTGACTTGAAGGACTGGTTGCAAGGGCACACCGCATCAGCCAGTGTCAGCCGCCCAGCCTCCGAGCCGTCGCAGAGCAGTATTGTTGCTGCAGCAGTCCATTTGTGGACCACCTCTCAGTTTCGGCTTTAGGGCGAGCCAAGCTGTTGCACCAAGCAGAGAAGCTTCTTGCGGACAGCAAGAGCAGACCATTCCGTGATGACCTTGCTTTAACACTTTAGAACTGCGCCTGGTGGACAGCAGTCGCCAGAAAGATGAGCACAACCTGCAACTGATTGCGGAAGCATAGAGAGAGGCCATTGGCGTTTCGTAATTGAGCGGAGAACCGAGATGGTCGGCACATGCGCTGCTGGCCCCGGTGCCAACGGCGCAGGCCGCCATCGCCAGGAAACCCCTGCGGGCAGGAATGAGACCCACTCATGCGGCGCCCACTTACTATGTCCTACATCATTTGCACACCGCTTCTCTGCAGATCACGAAAGCATGCGCCAAATCAAACGTCCCAACTGTCCTGAGCGAGTTCATCGTCTTGCAGCGGCAGCGAGGTGCAGCGGAAAGCAATTAAATGGGCCAAAAATGCCTTGAAACCCGCACAGCCGGACATGCGCAGCAGTTTCCTGAAGGGAGGAACTATAGAGGACACGTGAGGAGGTCCAGCGGGCATCAATAACCGATTTAAAGACTACATTGTTTGGCACACGCACTTGAAGCTCAGATCAACGACGACATACGGCGACTACGCGAACGACTTCAAAGGACAAGGCTGGAAAAAAAACTGATGACATGGGGCATATCAAGCACGCAACCGCGTCGGACAACCACTGGAAGCTCCACGAGGTCAGAGGCACTGGGGCACCCGGGAAGGTTCAGATCAGAGGGCCGTGCTTTTGCTTCAGATCCCTGCTGCATTGCGAGACCGCACTCTCCAAGCCTCGGAAGCTGCTTCATCCCTATGCCAGGCACGGCTCGATGACGCCCGGCTGTACTTTCAGAGATGCTCTCTAACTGACTCGTGTTCTCAATCGTACGATTGGGTCCGAAACAACGGGCAATAAGGCCCTGACGGATCTGTTCGGATTTGGCGGACTCGACCCTCAGGTCGAGGCACGAGGTCAAGGACGGCACTGCACCCAACCCTACGCGACAACCCTTCTGCAACTGTTCACCTTCTAACGGCCTGCTATTACCTGCTGCATCCTGCTGCCCTATCGCAACCAAAGACCACAGCTGTGCCTTGTTCCAATCTCTCTGCAAGGCGGTTAGCCTGAGATACCGGCTCTGCCAGAAGCTTCCGCAGATCATCCATTTGCATGCGAGCCATCCTTGCCACATTCTCGGAGCTGGCTTCGCTTTAATGTCTTTGCATGGGAGGAGCTCCATGCGAGGTTTGGTCGTCGCTGAGCGGGAATCCCATCTCAAACGATTATGAGCACATGCCATGATAGCTGATGCTTCGGAAAAGATCACCGGGCCCGTGGCGGGATGAGGGACGCGCGCTCGACGGAGAGGTTGGCACCAGTCACGCACATGCGGACCTCGATCTCGCCTCGGACGCGCGCTTGAAATCATGTGGTGTTCGAAGTCAGCATGTGCAAACTCTCGCAGCTCTTGGCTCGCCCCGCTGTTTGCATCATTCGTGCAGGGCCATTATGCCGCATTCGTCGCAAATGTTCTAAAGGTTCTTGGGGCGATATGCTTCAAGCTGAGCCCACGGAATTGAAACATGAGCGAATTTAAGTGACACAAGGCTTCCAAGTAGATTTTTGGCCCGTCGGTAGATATCCAAACCGGGGATTATGCTCTTCTAGCATCCAAAAATGCTAAGAGCTTTTACCTGGCACTGAGCTAGGCGCCCGACCCTTAACGTGTGGGACCATGATCTCGCAAAGCCCATTGCCACCGCTGCGGACAGCCAGGTCATTCCGTCTGCAACAGCTCAGCTGAACACAACTGCAACTCGAACTGGAATTAAACGGAAAGCGTGTGTTCCCGCATCATGTAGTCAGAGTACATCCGGCCGGCAAAATCTTTTCTGGCGAAATAAAAGATCGTACCCCAAGCATCGCCAAACCTCCAAACGTTTGCCACGCCCATGTTCTTGACCGCCTGCACCCAGGTTAGCATCTTTGGCGCCGACATGCGGTGCTGCAAAGGACTGCCCAGGTGATCTAATAATTCGCAGGCAGCAATCACCTTCTTCTCCAAAGCCAGGCAAGCATCCTCAAGGCACCGTTGCGGCTGAGCTTGCGTCGACTACACTCGGCTGGACAAGGGCCAGGATCAGTGAGGACAGAGGCCAGGCTGAGGGCACCACATCCACAGCATGCACTTTGTTGGCAACCTCCAATGGAAAAACCGAGCCACCCGGACCCAAAAGCATGCCATGCCCGCTTGCGCTCTGAGAGAACAGGACTCTAGGACTATCGAAAACACGTCGTGTACCGCCCACCTTGCCGGCAGCCATGGCCTCCCGAGGACTTCCACTGCAACTTGCAGGTATTCTGTCGAAGCCGATGCTGCTGCAAGCACGAGTCCACCTATAATCACTGCTGCACTGGCCTTCTTTTGCTGCGTGTCTATGGTGGACTTCGAAGCCTCCTCCACCTCGTCCTGTCGAAGGCCCGAGGCATCTACATGATGCCTGGCAAATCAATCAACTCCATTGCTCTTACAGAGAATCCCTAGCTGGTGCCCTATAATCGGCGATTTCCAGATGCGTTTTCGCGCTCTGTGCAGGCCAGTCCCTCAACCCTTGCGTGCCTTCAACCGCCGGGCATTAAAAAGAGCCCCCATGTTGGCGCTAGCTCCTTGCCGCTTCACCAGGAGCCTTTGACAACAGCATTAGTAAATGACAGGCGATGACAAAAGATAGCCATACCATAAACACCCAGAACTTGCTTCATGATGTCAGACTATACTTACTAATTACTACTAGTGCGTCTTCTGGTCTGGGGGCAGTTCTGAAGTACAACGATGCAGAAGCAGAAGTTCGATTACTCAGCCGGCGGCTTCTTCCACATGATGTCCACATCCTCAGAAGAAAATCATCGACTTAGGACCCCCCAAGTGAGAATCACAGCCGACCAAGTGTCCTCTAGAAGCGCAGTGCAATCGACCGCCTCCCGTGCCAGACAACTCAGCCAAACAGCGAGGTTCTACACATGCGTACACTGTCTTACAGCGGGCAAATCACACATCAGCGCGCGAAGCGCGCATCAGCAGGAACAAGTGATTCCCATACAGATGCTGGAACTTCTGCCAAGACCGAATGTGGATGAAACTGCCGGATGTGCGGCAGACGCTAGCTGCCAGCTGTCAAAAGCTAATCCCCTGTACACGCTGTAGATATTTTGTCAAGACTGACGAAACCTCACGGACGCCACTCATGCTTTCGGTATATTCTTCTTCTTTTTCGAATACTCTCGCTGCCGCGAACGCTGAAAGAGACGTTTGTTTTGTTACAATTACTGGCTGGCCGACATGCTCCGAAGCGTTGACTCTGGCAACTGCTTGGCAGGAACCGACCTGAATATACAGTGCAAACGCATAGCGGCAGAATGCCCACTACCATCCCAGGCTGCATGGTTTGGACAGGATAGCGACAAGCAGATGCCAAACTCCAAGCTTGAGGCTTCAACGTAGATCCCAAACCATCATAACAGTATCGGCGTTCCCCAGCTACTGTTTTGTTGTCCGGTTCCGATATGGGATATAGGTATGATGCGGTAATGTGCAGATGCCCCAAGTAACTACCCAAGTAAATGCGAATGTCAAGCATTGGAAGCACTGCTAACATGGCTAACTCGCCATGTAGACGGTGTGTAACATGGCTGACGCCTGACGACGGTGTCTGACCGACAAAGTTCTTTCCACCACAACACCAAGAATCCGCTGAGAGATTGATGTGTAGGAAAAAAGATGCGATGTTAGACGAATAGAATGTGCCCGACCACACTCCTGAAGGCCTCTTCGCTTACTCACGTTTACATACATCTAGGAAGGCAAGAGCCTCCTCCTCCGGTGCAGGACCGGGAAGGCTGAGGACGACCTCCTGCGCTGCACCCTGCCGGACCATGCAAATTGGATGTTGCACGTTTCGTGGCAGACTTTGCAAAACCGCCACTGGGCCAGTCTTCCAGTCACAGGGTCACAGCCATGCTGGCCGACTGCAGAGCACATGTGAGCACCTTGCCAGGTGAAGGATCCTTCGCCGCGGGCCCATCCCCCAAGGCCTACATGGCATCCAGCATGTGACAAATGTCCGGCGGGAGGTTTCCTTTCTCGTAAGGATCGAGCAGGCACGTAGTCTTGCTGCAGCGGTGCACTGCCTCAGGCAGCAAGTAGACACGTCACTGCACCCCACAGCTTTGCAATGTTTCCAACCGCTACAACCATTCACAACCGATTGAAGAAGTTGGCCTGGCGCGGAGGCTTCGCCGGTGGAGATGCTGGTGTGCGTTAGCCCCAGCTTGATCTGCAGGTGCAGGACGCACGGGGCATGTACGATGTATCATGAAGCAATTACGGAAATTGCATGGCTCTGGCTCCTCAGTTGGAAGCTACAAGCGGAACAGCCAATAGTCCTACACTGCTAGTTCCGAATCGGCTCTGCTCCAAATGCCTCACCGGAGGCCGCAAACAACCTGAGGAAGCACTCATTCGTGCAAAGGGGCATCAGCCCGACGCGCGTGTCTGTCGTCGAATCCCAAGAAGCCATGTCCAAAGCCCTACTATTCGAGCTCGGCACGTGGGTCCTTCAGCCGCAGTAGGACCTAGACACCATGAACTCGTACAAGCAATGCCCGCATGGTTGTATGAGTGCTGCGTGCATGCAAAGGCTGACAGTCTCAGTGATGAGTGCCCTCTGAGCCACCTCTCCAGCTCTAATGGCAGCTTCGCAGCTTTTCACACTATCTTCGGGCCGAGCGGAGTTCCCAGATTTTCACCTCACCTGCACTGAAGCTCCGGTTGAGTCGGCTCCCGACAGCAGGAGGGATGCCTTTCCACACGGGGTGGCCATGGGTGACTTGTAGGAGCTGCTTTCGGTCGGAGGGCTAGCAGGCGAGCTCGGAGAGGGTGTAAAGCTTCGTGATACCACACATTGCGCTTGCCGCCGGTCATCTCTTTGCACGAAGCAAGCTTGTCTCAGTGCTTCTTTTCTGTGTGCCGGTCTCGCAGCACCTTGATGGCAAACCTTCGTAGCTTCGCAAAAGAGTTGATTATCCCCTGCAATGCACAGTCTATAGTCTAAAAGCCTGGTGTGTGCACACTACCTGGAGCCAGCTAGCACCCTGCACCGTTGATCGCCGTTGGCGCCACCACCGAACGGCAAAACCGAAAACCAACCTCGACAGTAAGTGCTGCATCAGCCACAGGGCGGCAGCCATCGCTGTGGCCACGTAAAAGCCGAATCGAACTTTTCCAGTTGTGTCGGCCGCCAACGCCGGAAGAAATGCAGAACCATACAGGAACTGCCAGACTGCTGCACTGGCGACTCCCAGCCCGAATCCAACGGCCACCTCAGGGGGAACCGGCAGGCTGGTTCGATCCGCGCCTGAACATGAAGTAGCGATGGTCTTGTCAAACAACACTCTTTATCTGAGAGGCCTGTGCAGATGTGTGGAAACCCAGCGTAACCCGGAGCCAAGTGAAGCCCAGCCTTTGCTGCGTGCATTCGTGACTACGAGGCTGACATATTCGCGAGCCATACCGCAGGGATTTAGGCAAGGTTCTCGGCAAAACTCGCAGCACAACATGGGAAAGATACATTCAAAAAAAAACCCTTCTAATCATGTGCTATCTTAAAGGCAAAACGTTGGGGGGTAAA